TGAGGCGTTCGGAGACGACAAATATTCGGGGATGTGTTTTGTGTGTCAGATGCTTCCAAGGCTAAAAAAACCCCTTTGGAGCAATAGTCCAATCAGGTAATCACCCCGAAAGGTGAATGTTCAGCACCAGACACGCAGTGAAATTAGAACCCATAAGCACGAAGAATTACACCTGCATTGCGGAAAGCCAGGACAAAACAAAACAAGTTACAATATGGATGATTTCAGTTCAGAAGCGATGCGTCCCGAGTTACCGAGAATTTCGGGCAATATAAGGTAAGGTACCATGAAAAGACCGGTAGATGTTTGTGCGAGCAAACATAACGGGATCGGGTGGCAGAAGAAAACACACTTTAGAAAGATTTGCGTGGGACGGATGCGAAGGGTTGTTCATGATTACTGTGGATAAAGAAAGACATGGCTTTGTATATTGTGAAACGACAGAAAATTTTACGGGAAATCACGCTACTTCTAAAGGCATGTACTAAAGATCTGGGAAGCAACTTAAAGTCCTTCTTGAGTATCCCTGGGAGGATTACATTGGACCCGCACAATCAAAGGGATAAAAGAAAAATGGCGGATCAAGAGGCGATTAGGTGATCGTTTTCTAATAGCCGATTTATGGATGATCTCCGAAAGCCTCAGTTTGGTTGCGGGTGGGTGTCTAGGGTTGCGGCTGGTCACTTCATGAAATGCTCAATTAAGACCAAACGTCTCAAATAGCCTCTGCAAAGGAAGCCCTACTAATTGCCTTCTCGTGGCGGAGGTGTTTTCGCACCAAAATTAGAGGACGAAAATTCAACATCCAGGGGCTATAACCGGTTTAGTGGATCACTGGCAGGGGAGTTTGCTGAACAAACTGATTTCAAACCGACGAAGATGAGGCGTACCAATCACACCTTTCTGATTGTGGCAGTGGTCACCGACTCGATTGGACGTTTGACCCTGTCCAAAGGGTGTATGATACTTTACTTTACGGCGGCTGGCTCCTGGGAGAGGATAAGCCGGCTTCATGGATATCTTAAATTGCCGCTGCCCACGCTCGGCGATCTGCGGCAAGATCGACGCATATTGTGATCCAGCTTGATTTTCATTGTCGAACACCGTAGACGGAACGGAGACCAAGGTTTTCAGTATCCTTTCGTATCGTGTCAGGCCAGGTTTTCACCTGTCCACTGTGCCAACAGCGCCAGTTCGGGCAGGGAGGCGGTGCTAAGACAGCTTTTGTCAGATCGTTGTCGGACTTACAAAGAATGTGGCCAAACCATTCTAGTTTTCGTTGCATCAGCTTCCTCAACGGTACAAGCTTAAAACATCAATTTCTGACCACTTCATTTGAGAGTTGATCCCTCCATCTTACTCCCAGAATAATTATTAAGCATCAGTGCTGGAAGATTTCTAATCTGTGACAGTCTTTGATTCTGGCTGGCCAGATTTCGCAGCCGTATAACAAAACAAGACGGACTGCTGCGGTATGATCCGACAAACTGAACACTGGCCCCCAATGGATTGCGGTTTTCACTCACCGCCGACCTGCTGCCTTGCTAGTCAGACTTTAGCTAACTGCGGGCTCCGATTGTGAATTCCTCATGAAGATTCAACTGTCTTGGCTTAGGAAACTTGACAATGTCGCACCCACAAACAACTCATGTAACTTTCTCTTTTTAATAAAGATTATTGTACCATGATTCGTTTGGCACACAGTCTGGCCTCAGATGTGTGTGTGTGTATAGGATTATGGATGAAAATTTCCACTTATCTTGTTAGGCGTTATCGTCAACAGACAGCCACAAATCCTGTGGCAGTTAAGACTGCAGTTTAAAGCACTGTTAGATTCATATGCGCTACAAACAACGGCTTATTTAGGATAGTTGGTCTAGCTTGTGTTGCCCATGGATAAACGCCTACCCCCATCATGTAATGCTGAAAAGCATCACGTTTTTTTCCTAATCTCACAGCTATTGTATTACTCAGAGGTCCTATTCAGACAAAATGGACTGACACCTGATCAAGCAATGTACGCGACCATCGGCCTCGGACTAACTCTACTTTTCAGTAGCGTGATCGCCACATTGATCGTGGAACGTCTGGGCCGAAGATTGATGCTTTTAGGTGGACTGTTGGTCACCCTGTTCTGTCTTATTGTGTTTACCGTCTGTCTGGTTATCCGCAACGCAACCGGTATCATGTGGCCCACGTACATCGCGATCGTCTCCACGTACGTGTTTGTGCTCGGCTTTGGCCTCGGACCGGGTAAGTTTGATTGCCCTATTCAATGTTCGATTTACTGGTGGTTCCGATTGTGAACTTCGTTCTGGTCAGCGTTTTGTACCCAGAACCTGTAAACGATAACAAGCGAGTTGGTTCAGTCCCGTCCGCAAATCATGTCTTTCGCACAACGAATCATATTCTATCAAAATTATACCTGTGTAATATAGCAGCAGCATTCCTAGTGGTGCTGGATCGATCTCTGTGAGGATAGCAAACAAACCCGTTTTCAGTGACCGGAAATGTAATAGTTGTACTACGCACTGATAACGAAATACGAATCACATACCAGAAGTCATGGTCACCATATTAGCACTGAATCACACTGGCACCATCAAGACAGTATCTAACGTAAGGTGCAAGGTAATAGCAGTTCATTTATTGAAAGAAATCATGGGGTTCAAATAATATGTACAAAAGAAGGTTATTGGTCATCCAAGCCTAAACCAATCGCGTTCTGGTATTCCTGGTGTCGTACAGCTTCTGTTTGGGCCTCACGGCGTCTGATTGGTCGGTACCATTGGTCTATGGTTCGTAGTCTAGAAGCTGTAACGCGTTCGCCCTTTGCTCGCGTCACCTGGGAAGCTTGACTCACCACAGTTGTCCGGAAACTGTTACGTGTCACCCCGAGATTTGCGTCATCCCGTCGGCTAGGATCACCATAGGAAATCCGCTAAGCACATCAATTTCATGGTAGAACCAGGCGCGAGACTCACATTAATCACACTTTCGTTGGCTCATTCATTCGATAGCTCACCTTACATTCAAAGGAAGTTCGTTCACCATTCTATGTTCGATTTATAGTGTTCTCTGTGTGACTCTTCAGAGGAATTTAGGTCCTATCATGAAGGGAAATAGAAGCGTGATGTGCAACTGGATTCTCTTCAAATTGTGCCGGTAGATACTCGGTTCACTGAACAAAAAATCCTCAAACATAAGGCGAACATCATCAATGGCTTACATTGATTGATATGATATTTGTCCGTGATGATATTGGAAATGGAAATCGGTTTCAGTTTCCAATGTATGCAACCATAAACCGCATACTTTCACGCGGCTGTTCTGGTTGATCTCCTTGGGCAACCTATTCGGATTCAAAAAAATATATACACAGATGAATTTAAATGCTGGAAGTGGTATCAATGTAAAGATAGAGAAATTGAATAGACTAGGTGGTCAAGATGTTGTGTCAATGCACGAGCATCATTGTTTGTAACACTCAATACTTCTTCCTATTTAAAACGCTGATCCAGACGTCCCCATTCGGGAATACCAACGTGACCTTCATGACTGAGCCCCAAGTTTAAGGTTTTCAAACCTCCATGCTCGGTCTGAGTTTCATCACCTTTGATATTCTAATCACTGCATACACCGGAAGGCATCAGAGGCATCAGTGAGTAACCATGATTGTCTAAAACTCTGACCCCAACCCCGGCATTGCCTGTCCTGTTGCCCCATCATACTCGTGCAATGGGGCGCAGACCGCGGTGTTTTCGAACACTGATGGTGTGCTTTTTTCTATCCTGCTCCCGTAACGTCCCTGTCCTTGCACCACACAGCAGCACCGACAGAACTGTCGCGATCTGCACTCATGGAGTATCGATTGTTGTGGTCTTATCAAAGGTGTCCAGGTGACAAATGCCATTCGAGTCTGTTTTATGCGTGCTGGAATTTCATTCCAGATTTGTCTGTCAAATGAGATGCATCTGTCTAAGCAGCCAGATTTGTCTGTCTTCGTTTTTATCTCCTCGTCTGCAACTGGGTTGGGAGCTGGACCTATCGTTCCGCCAACTTTGTTTGTGTTGAGAAACGCCCCGTGTCCGTACGTCACAGAATTCACCAACTGCTCCGGCTCTCCCTTTTTGAATGACGATATTATACACCTCTCTGTGAATTTCATCAAACACAGTGTTTTCTCTGCAAATTCTTCTAGTTCTATGAATCAAACAGTGTATGAAATAAGTTGAAACGGGACGGTCGACACACATGTCTATGTGCTGTTCCAAAGCAACTTTTACAGGTTCCTGTAGCCAGACTATTCTTGAAGCCCCCGAACACGGGGGTAATGTACTGTCAC